ATATTATGATATATTACAGCAGTTTGTGCACTTTACATTAAAATTAATTTTCGGCTGCGAAGGTTAAAAAGATATAAAATAAAATTCTGTACGTCGAGATCTTGAAGAAGTTTTAATTTCAAATTTCACAAAATAATATTGAAGAAGTACACTATCAATTTTACACACAGTGACCATTAGAAAGAAACTTCTTATTATATTTTAACACTTAATCCTTTTTTTGCCCCACACGATTATATTTTAGAGATATTTTTGTCAAAGAAACTAATTTCAAGTAGGCCGCCTACATTTTTCACGAAACCACGTCGTTAAGCAACCTCTAACGAATATATTTAAGGTGTCAAGGGAGAGTGGGGGCGGGAGAGAGGGGGGGGCTTATATATATATATATAAAAAGCAGAAAAATAACGTTCGCGTCACACGAATTATTTAACAAAAAATTCGTTGCGCGTATCCGTTAAGAAAATATTAAACGGGATCGTTAAGTTTAAAGCGACAGACACGAAGGACCGAGAGCGGCCTAATTCGAAAACGAGGTCAGATAGCGCAAAACATTTATTCGAAGTTTTCTTATTAACTTTATGCAGCGAGTCTAACCGCGAATTTACGGCCGCGTTTCATAAAATGTGTTGTGCAGAAATTTTCTGCCGGTAAGGTCACACAGAATGCGCCGGGTTTATCAGATATACGGCTCCACATGAGAAAAGCAGTGCCGTTGTTCACGTGTTGACGACGACAGCGGTGAGTGATAAGCGCAAATTGCACGGTTTACAGCCAGACGCGATCGGAAACCGGATTAAGGACGTTAAAAGATTTTGTTACAACATTTTATCAACGCTGTTCCGTGTCTTTTCTGATCGCGCCTCAACATAAGTATTTTTATGCCTCGAGGCACGTTTTATCGCCGAAACTTTGCACCGTTCTAAAATGGGTTTATTGCTCACTTAGATTCGTAACGAAACGTTGCATATTCGAAAGTGTCGAGAACTAAATATACTAGCACACAAGATATTTAAGTCGGTTCTGAACGACGATGTATCGTTGTTTTCTATCGCAATTTTAATTTGCGGCCGAAATTTTGTTTGCTTTAATTTGCTGTAAGCTAGTTAACGACATTTAAATTTTTATCTAGATTTCGCGGCGAATGCAAAAACTTGCAACTTCGTAGAATTATTATTGCTCCCATTGCGATTTAATTCACATTAGGCAGTCTACTATTACCGATAATGTTAGGCTGAGACGTAAATAATTCGCGTTTCCAGGAATAGGTTACAACGATGCTTTGCTATTCGAGCTATCTAACAAATCGAAAGGTCATTGTTAATTCCGGTAAAATTTGTTATATTAAAATGGAAATTATTTTTTACATAATCTAAATAAATCTTGCCGACGTCTCTTTTGATACCCATTTATAATAAAAGCGTTCCCGTTCACAGAAATGCCTGCTGTACAGCCTAACAAACTCTTGAAAAATATTAGAATACTTTGGTAATATATGTACAAAATATCAAATAAATACCTTGTTTAGTATTACATGGAAATTTATTATTTTATGACAACGTTGCGTCGAGATACAACGGCATAGGCCGATCATAGATCACGCCATGAGGACCGCTTTATGTGGACAACTTCATGTTCGTTGCAAGAAACCACGCGGCGTAACCACGTGTATCATACATCATACATAACCTTCCTTGGTAGCACAAAGAGACAATGATATTATTACCACTTGTTGGATACGAGTATTCATATCGCTGTGCACATTGTGTTCTATTCCATAATCTAGAATAAAGTTGTGTCTACACGGAGAGAAGTCTCGTTATTGTCTACAAGTTGTTTATAATTAATCACGCGCGAACTCTTCCCGATTCGCTTTTAGGAAAATCGTCGGCTGCACGTGCCGGTTTCTATAAAAATCTTCCAGTTAATAACGCGTTGGAAGTGGCACCTTCTAATAATAACGAATGGTATACGATAACTTATAGTTTTGATCGTGAAAGATATAAAATGTACTCCTATTTCTGTCTTTTCTAGGTGGATGGAAACTCTTAAATATCATCGCAACGTCACACTTTCCGCGCCCCTATTTCGCAACACGTTTTGTTCTCTCTTAGAAACTTAAGCTCGACGGAGCGCGATCCCATACTATTTACGGTAAATTGTTTGAAAACTAATAAACGGGGTGTGCTCGTCGATTTACAATGCGAGCAAAAAAGATCGTGCCTTTTTTTACCGCCAATTGGTTACAGTTCCCTCCAATATACATAAACAATCGTTCAACGTCTTTACAATAAGAATATGACCATGACGTAACGCAGGAAACGGTTGGACATTTTTTTTTCTTTCACATCGAACTATATTTATTCCCAAGTTGACTTTGAAATTTTGTAACCATTATGCAATCACCTGTGCTGATCGTTTAGCCTCATAATGTATTTTCATATTCATTATATACTTTTTCTATATTCAAAATTTTCCAATATACTTTTCCTATATTCAAAATTGTGAACATTGAATACAAAGATTATGCAACGTTATTGCGTAAAAGAATAATATGCGCAATAATTTACATATGTCTAAAAACTCGTGGATGACAGAAAAGAATAATAGAGATACTAAATTTCTTGAAATTGTATAGCTTGTAATTATTTGAACTGCAAGAAACATTTTTTATGCAATCACAGTTGGACAAAATAACTCGGCGATCTCTTTTATAAGAACGATAATCTAAAAATTAATTCTAACCCTCGAATGGCAGACTTTGGTCCACCTTGATTCACAACTGTACAATCTACATTTTAATTTTCTAATGGCCAATTAATATTCATTCTAATTAGATGATCAAAATTGATCGTATCAAACTTAATTACACTAAAAACTGAAATGATTCACTTTATAAATTCAACAGAATGAAATTGTACAGAAATATTACAAACGACGGTTGCTTCAAGGTATTCGAGCCGACCCTCAAGAATGCTCTTGATATTTCGATCTTTTTGATCTACATTCGACGCTCCACTTGTTCATCAAATACTCGTAATCCTTTTGAACTCTCACTTTTACAGGAACCACTAATTGATTCGGAACTCTAATGCGACTTCTTCAACCAAAATCGAAATTTCTTTCAACAATTTCGCAACAATCGTTCGCGTTAATTCACAGACGGCTTACGGTGCGCGCGCAGCATCGTGTCGCGTCGGTCACGTGACTGGACAGTAGAACCGCAGCTTCGCGGGAGATTTTAAACCAATTCGAACCGTGTCACGACGTATTTAACAATTATCTTTCTCTTAAAATTTTCGAACTGCCCGTTCTCATTGCGGTAGTATCTTGTGGTGGCTACCTCCAGACCCGCCAACAGAGGGCTCCCGCTAGTAACCGATCCGCCTCGATCCCTATATATACAAAGACTTCGTCCTTCCTACCCCCACGTCTAAGGCAAGGGCCCGCTAGGAGAGCCTTTACTGATGAGTCCTCTAGCGGGCCCCGGACGAAACGTCTCCCCTCTCCTTTTCTCACCCAAGCACACACTACGACAAGCCGCCAAAATCTACACTTTCGATCTACGCTTTTTCACCAAACTGTGCCACCATTGCCCTGCGGTGTATCGCGTTACCAGCGAAATGTAAAACCGTTTACCGGCAGACGTGCTCGCGTTTTATAGTTGCTTAGAGGTAGATCCAGATTGATTGTAAGATACTGTTCCTTCAGAAAGCTTAAGCATCGTTGTATCTGCGAAACGGCAGCTCGGATATCAGCGATACGTTCGTGCGAATACCTGGAACACTATGAGTCCCGAATACCGAAACTGAATTGAGAACACGGCCGCTATTACTTTGAATTTACTGTGTATTGGATGGTTACACGTGAAGCGGGCTACTTCTTGAAAAGATCCGTGCACCGATAATGTCCCATTATTCCTTAAGGCTGTTGCTTATTATGCTAATTACCGCTTGAAATACGAGAACGTAAAACTTTAAACGGCAAGAATATTTTTCGATGGTTGAGCAAGTTCGAATTAAGCGATCGTTTAAAAATCAAATTCGATTTATAGATGTTTTTCTATTTCCCTGTATACGTTCAAAATTTTCTACAACAAATGTTTCAAAGATGATCGTGATGAAAATTGAATGGGTTTTTATTTATTATAAAGCGATATGTACTATTACATGAATTTTTTAAATTGAATTCTTCTCTTTAATCTTTTTCTCAGATAATGTAATTTAAATGATTATTTTAAAAAATTCAAGTTTTAAAGTAATCTAGAAGTTTCTCAGATGTATCGAAATAGAGAAACAGAGAACTGTGAACAAAATATGGAAACTAGATAGCAAATAGATTTTTTCATAACAAGTATACTCCAATAAGCTTATTTTGAATTCCTTTTTTTACGAAACTGCGAGCGGATAATAATTTCTACAAAATAATTTGCCCACTCGCAATATTTTTACTAATACGTAGAGAAGTAGAAAAACACAAATAAGAGTTCGAAGAGTGAATTTACTTCCCCCGAAATCCCCTATAAACCTGCAAAAATGTCGGATATTAGAATCTCCGTGACACCAAAAAATCTCACGCGAGCACAGTCCCCCGTTTGAAAGTCGGACAGCAGATTGTCGGCGGCGCTAGTAAAAGTAGCTTTCGGTGACCCCATTGGTTTCCCATATTTATCCCTCTTTATCAAGCCCGCGTCAACCGCATCGGGACTAGGAAACAAGGGTCACTTAATGTATTCAATGCGAACGTGCACGATAGGTTCGGTCTATCACGATAAGCGTGCCACGTGTACGCTTAGAATATCGGGACTGGTTAATCGACGTCCCTGAATAATAGAAACCCCTCTTGTCGAGGTATAATCGAGAGTTTATCAGGGAACGTTCGGAAGTATGGGAACGCGGGTGAATGCATTGCTGAAATTAATCCGTAAAGGGGGGCGGCAAGGGGCGGGCAGGGCTAACTAAGACATAGATCTAGATAGGTGCATGTATCAATTAGTGTACCGTGTTGGTGATATCTGGTGGCTGTGTATTGCTGTTCGTGTCGCGCATGCTGTCGGGGGTTATGTGTTGCTGTTGTTGTTGCTGTTGTTGTTCTTGTTGACCTGGAGATACCGTGCTGGATGCATTGTAGGACTGCTTAGACGTTACCTCGTTCATGTAGGACACTTCCGATAGCGGGACGTAGTAGTAGCCCAAGAAACGATCCCATAGGAGACCCTTGCACCAAACCTCGACCAGAAGGCCCGTGTTCATGTCGTTCGTTTCGCTAAACAACAGATGGACAGGACGATTCATTTTATGGGCGAAATGATACATCGAAGCTGGTCGACGAGAAGTTAGCTAGCCGGTCATTTCGAGTTCTATTAGACTCCGCAACAGTGGTATCTTCTTTGGGAAAACTAGCTACGATCTATAAATTTGTACGATTTGTGTAAAAAATCGACGCTTTTACGTTTCCGACGTTACCGAATTTGAATATGCTGCGAAAAACGTGAAATTCACAAATGGAAAATCCAACACGTCCGACGTAAGCTTTATTTTCATTTTATTTTTGCGAATGTTAATAATTCATCGACATTTAACGATCCCAATTTCAACATTTTTAACGCTAGCTTTACGGATCGCTAAAAGCAGCTGTGAAAATAACAAGCATATATTTTTTTTATTCAAACTTACAGCGATTTTTATTGCAAAAATATTTATTGGATAAATTCTCCATAGATGTATCTAGCGTTATATTATAATATGTCGACGATGCAAGACATATTGAGGAGGGAAGCACGATACTCGATTCGAAAATATTTTGCGTCGCTTGTTGCGCGAAGTTTATCTTTACAACGTGTATTTCAGTGGTGAATTGTTCAGGTTAATTTTTTCGAATAAACTTTAGCTCGACGCATTAGAGTCGCATTAAAATTGTTGACACGTTGAAATTTTAGGAATAGATACCACTGTGCGCACACGTGCCTCCAGAACTTCTCGTCGACCTGAAAAAAAAAAATTAACAGAAACTTCGGGGAACGTGAATCAAGTTATTAGTAGACCACGGATCTTTATGCATTTGTGCAAATTTCCTGTAATACACGAGAACTTAATACTATTTTTACCACAAAGAATATCTTATCGAGAATGACGGAAATTTTTCTCTGTTCTAAGTTTTCACGGAATTAGGTATGCAAATCGAGATCTGCATAAAAATCCGCGATCTATTCGGGAGATTGAAAAATGTCACCTAGCCGACTATAGTTTCGGGTTCTTAATACTAGTCGCTAATCGATGACGCCTGGCTGTTCTAGCTACAGCATTAACTCTATATTCAAGGGGTATTCGTTTTAAGAACGGACACTTGTCAGAATATACGCGGTCGGCGGGTTTACTCTAAATAGAGGGCAATTGATCGGCGCATCCCCGTGTCCGTATTTTTAGGCAGTTATCTCGTCACAGAAGTGAAATAAATACACGATTTAAAAGCGGCACGGACCGCACGTAGTCGCGCGTCAAGGGGAAAGTAGGTTAAAGGTTCGCAACTTGGCAAGTGAGGATTTCGCGGCGTCCGTAAGGATATTTCAGAAAGCCAAGATCCAAAATTCTCCTATTTTCTTCCGGCGCGATTCCCGCGATTGTCCCCCTTATATATTTGCCAGCCTCGATCAATAGCGTGTTCTTCATCTCGAGCACACGGCGTGCTCTTATTTTTCCTTACGGCACAGAGAACGTTCGAGTATGATTAAAAATGTCGCCCGGGTTCAAATTAATCGTCCACCGATCACCAAACGGCATGTTCCGAGGATAAACGTGTTCGTTCGCAAACTATCGTACGTCTTCCGAAATCGGTTGATCCGGTCGATTTCGAAACAACGAGTTTCAGGAACGTTCAAACTTTCGCGTCGAATAAATCAAGGTTGAAAATTTACATTGAAATCGTTCGTGTCATTCGAATCAATCACCGAACAGAGAATTTCAAATAGTTTCAAACTAGGTTACTCCAATAGAAATAATTTATTATCCAAACGTTATTAAAAATTCTGGCAATGAGTCAAGCTTGCGTCTCATTCGAACCGATCGAGAATCAACGAATTTTAGAAACTTTCTAAGCTGCTCGAATGGACATAGTTTTACGTCGAGAACACTGTCGAATAAGAGAAAAATTAAGATTTAAAATTAACACGCTAACCGAGGTACTGTTGCACGAATAAGATTTCGTACTGCCACTTTCGGAGATGGTTGGCATAAGCAACGACCGAAATCCGAAGGTCTCCGAACCCAAGAATTCAAATCTATAAATTGCCCAGATTTGGAAATCCAATTTAGAAGATCGTTGGATGTAAATACTGGCTAATTAAAAATCCAGGCTTCCTAGTCTGGGACCTAAAACCGAGGTCGTCGGAGTTCAAGAACCCATACTGAGAGACCTTTGAATATGTAAATACAAACTCGAGACCTGTGCATCTTCAGCCTCTGAGATCTAAGGTTGTCAGCTCGGTTCCGACAGAGTTCCTTGACCCGATGCCTGAATTATGTACTTTCTTATAAAGAAACTCTAGATTGCGGGTTTTATGTATTTATGACAAAAAATGAACCGATGACATAGTAAATTGCGAGGACATTACGTGTTTCTTTTTTACGTAAACACGATGCAAAGAAGACATTTTCATTTCATTTCTATTCGTTGGAATTTACTTCGGAAATGTTTATTTCGTATAAAGATCCATAGTCCGCTTCTTACTTTCCACCTGGGTTTATCGATTCGTGTGGCTTAATAAAATTAAACTGGCATATTCCAGCTGCTTGCAAACGACATAAGTGGACGATGTAAAACGGATGAAGAATATACAGGGTGTTCGAAAAATGTCTCGCAATCCGAAAGTAGGGGATTCCTGAGGTCATTTGAAGCAACTTTTTCCTTAGCGAAAATGCAATCCGCGGCTTCGTTTACGAGTTATTAACGAAAAACAGTGACCAATCAGAGGCGAAATCATTTGGCGCGAGACGGCCGAGCCAATGAGCGGAACTGGGCTTCGTGCGCTCGTTGACTGTATCGCCGCGCGCCAGCCAAGCTCGCCTCTTATTGGTCGGTGTTTTTCGTTAATAACTCGTAAACGAAGCCTCGGAGAAAATTTTCGCAAAGGAAAAAATTGCTTCGAACGACCTCAGGAACCTCCCATTTCCTGATTGCGAGACATTTTCGGGACACCCTGTGNGTATTTATGACAAAAAATGAACCGATGACATAGTAAATTGCGAGGACATTACGTGTTTCTTTTTTACGTAAACACGATGCAAAGAAGACATTTTCATTTCATTTCTATTCGTTGGAATTTACTTCGGAAATGTTTATTTCGTATAAAGATCCATAGTCCGCTTCTTACTTTCCACCTGGGTTTATCGATTCGTGTGGCTTAATAAAATTAAACTGGCATATTCCAGCTGCTTGCAAACGACATAAGTGGACGATGTAAAACGGATGAAGAATATACAGGGTGTTCGAAAAATGTCTCGCAATCCGAAAGTAGGGGATTCCTGAGGTCATTTGAAGCAACTTTTTCCTTAGCGAAAATGCAATCCGCGGCTTCGTTTACGAGTTATTAACGAAAAACAGTGACCAATCAGAGGCGAAATCATTTGGCGCGAGACGGCCGAGCCAATGAGCGGAACTGGGCTTCGTGCGCTCGTTGACTGTATCGCCGCGCGCCAGCCAAGCTCGCCTCTTATTGGTCGGTGTTTTTCGTTAATAACTCGTAAACGAAGCCTCGGAGAAAATTTTCGCAAAGGAAAAAATTGCTTCGAACGACCTCAGGAACCTCCCATTTCCTGATTGCGAGACATTTTCGGGACACCCTGTGTACCGAATTCGAAGTGCCTTCGTACAAAAGAAAGGTTCGCATTAGCGTCTACCAGCGCGACTATTGATACACCGTAAATGAAATACGTACATTAACGACTGCGCGTTAATTCGTCCCGACTCTCGCCTCTGTAATTCCGAACTCGCTCGATCGAAGCACCCGTCCGTCTCTTCGCAGTCTCGAATAATCGATTAATGATTCACTGCTGAACTTATCCGAGGACTCGTCTCGCCTCGCAAGAAATCTCTCGTTTCGAGTAACAGTAGCAAATTCCCAATAACCTCGAGCGTTTCCGTGCCGGTGTACAGACACGGCCGGTGTCTGTAGTACGTACAGGTCACGACGGAGCAATTAAAAGGTCGTCCACGAAATTATTACGAAGTTCGTAATTATACCCGCGGCAAAAAACGAGACCGGTCTCGTCGCCGGCGATGCGAAGTATGTACCGGGGAAATCGATAGGAACGAGGATGGCGGAAAATATCAAGGAGACGGGAGAGCGAAAAAAGAAAGGGAGAAAGATTCAAACGCGAGACATAATTCGCAATTAGCTAATCGCGCTATCGCAAACGCGCTGTCCCATTCTGCCGGCTAAGCACCTATTTATATATCAGCCATGGATCGGATTGCCTCTTAAGGGAGGGTTCGATAGTCGATCGGCGAAACTCCGCGTTCCCGAGCCTTGACGCAAACCCAGTAATGAACGTGTTCCGATAACGCGTGCACTCCGACTCCGACGATTTCCCCCGACCCTTATCATTTTTATTCAGCAACGGGCATCGAGTATTACCCAGTTGGATAGAAATTTCTGGCGCGACACGGAATTGGACACGGGGATGTGTGTGCCTGGTACATACTCTGAACTTCGAATACCAAATTTTAACTTCGAAATTGATATCCTCGCCTCCCTTTCTTCTGTTTCTCCATCGATCCGCGCGGGCCCTACGAGTGGAAATAAACCCGGGCGACGTTGTTTAAAGGGGGTACAGCAGTATTACGCGGACAGCTGAAATCGGCGGTTCCCTCTGGCCTGGGCTGCTTCGATTTGATTTTACGGACGTACCGATGCTTTTTGCAGCTGACCCTTTTCGCCTGCAAGCTGTGTTTTCATTCCGATGCCCGGAAACTCCGTTCGACCCAATTTCCGTAAACAAAAATTAATTAGAGTGCGCTCACTCGGCGTGGCTTGCAAAAAGTAGGGTAAACGCGCCTAATTCGAGACCCGATTTTTGTTAAAATCATGATGTTCGATCGGGAGGAATTCTATTAAAAATAAACGCGCGTTCGGAAACTAAAATACGCATTCTTTTACGATCTCACAGTAATGTCTCTCTAATTGACGCTCAGATTGTGCACGAAAATGGACAATGTGCGAAGAGGAGATACGATTATTCGAGCCTTGCAGCTCGTTTTTATAGTTGTTGATAATTCGTGACTATAAAACGAGGCGCAAGACTCAAATTAATCGTATCTCCTCTTCCCGAATTGTCTATTTTTGTGCGCGATCTAAGGCGTCAATAAGGGAGACATTACTGTACTCTGGGAAATACAGGAAACAAATTTCGTAAAATTATCCGCGAAATTAATCGGTTTCTTCTTAAGATAGCTCGAGAAATAAGTATACGTCAAGACGAAGATACCAAACGACGTTGCATACGGTTTTACGTGAAATTGCGGTAAATTGAAAATTATGAAAAACACTGAGACTAAAAAAGATACTTTATTGCGAGACAAGAGATTACGATATTCAAATTTCGCTGCCATCGAAAAGAAAAGATTTATTATCAATGATATCCGAAGGTATCGTCCCAAGAGGACACATTGGATTTTATGAAAATATTATTTAATAAAGACCATGTCTCTCGTCCGGTTATAATTGCGTTTATTTAATTAAAACGAACTTAATGAAACGTGCTGTTTTTCGCAGCAAGCAGACTTGTTATTTCTCGCGACGAAAAATAATCCGTGCTGGTCTTCGCGGCAGACTGCTGGAACGTGCTAGTTTTCGCTGCGAGAAAGCACAACATCCTGCTTTTCGTGGAAAACATGTTACATACGGAAACGTGTTAGTCGTAGTCGCGAAAATCGAAACGCCCTACTTTCCGTGCTCCTAAAGTCTGATCTACCGGTCTTCTTGAGATAAATGAAACGTGTTACTTTTCGTAACGCGCGTTGCCAAAACACAGTAAATTCTCCCTAATCGACGCTCGGATTGCGTGCGAAAATGGACTACAGTAAAGTCTACTAGAATCTTGGTTTTCTCCCTTAGAGGTGAAAATCGTGGTCGTGCAAATTTTTCAGCCGCTCGGAACTTTTATACGAAGTGTGTACAGTAATGTCTCCCTTACTGACGCTCAAATTGTGCACAAAAATGGACAATTTGGGAACAGGAGATAGGATTATTCGAGCCTTGCTCGACTGTCAACAATTATAAGGACGAACTGCAAGGCTCGAATAATCGTATCTCCTCTTTTCAAATTGTCTATTTTTGTGCACAATTTGGGTGTCAATTAGGGAGACATTTGGAAATAGGAGATTCGATTGATCGAGCATTGCGACTCCTTTTTATAGTTACCGATTGTCAACAATTCTAAAGACCAGCTGCAAGGCTCGAATAATCGTATCTCCTCTTTCCAAATTGTCCATTTTTGTGCACAATTTGGGCGTCAATTAGGGAGACATTTGGAAAGAGGAGATTCGATTGATCGAGCATTGCGACTCCTTTTTATAGTTACCGATTGTCAACAATTCTAAAGACCAGCTGCAAGGCTCGAATAATCGTATCTCCTCTTTCCAAATTGTCCATTTTTGTGCACAATTTGGGCGTCAATTAGGGAGACATTTGGAAAGAGGAGATTCGATTGATCGAGCATTGCGACTCCTTTTTATAGTTACCGATTGTCAACAATTCTAAAGACCAGCTGCAAGGCTCGAATAATCGTATCTCCTCTTTCCAAATTGTCCATTTTTGTGCACAATTTGGGCGTCAATTAGGGAGACATTTGGAAAGAAGATATTCGATTGATCGAGCATTGCGGCTCCTTCTTATAGTTACCGATTGTTAAGAACTATAAAAACGAGACGCGAGGCTCGAGTAATCGTATCTCCACTTTCCAAATTGTCCATTTTTGTGCACAATTTGGGTGTCAATTAGGGGGACATTGCTGTATTTGGAAATAGGAGATTCGATTGATCGAGCATTGCGACTCCTTTTTATAGTTACCGATTGTCAACAATTATAAAGACCAGCTACAAGGCTCGAATAATCGTATCACCACTTTGCAAATTGTCCATTTTTGTGCACAATTTGGGCGTCAATTAGGGAGACATTTGGAAATAGGAGATTCGATTGATCGAGCATTGCGGCTCCTTCTTGTAGTTACCGATTGTCAAGAACTATAAAAACGAGACGCGAGGCTCGAGTAATCGTATCTCTTCTCCCCAAAATGTCAATTTTCGCGCGCAATTCGTGCATCGATTAGGGACGAGATTACTGTACGAGGTTTTAAAAAGCGACGCTACTTTTGAAAAAGCCACCCTATTTTTGAAAATGCCGACAGTGCTGTACACCCTTAAACTTTAAAAGAGACGGTCGCGCACGTTTCTACGGTAAAACGTCTCGCCGTTGATAGAAGAGAAGTTGACGAAAGGAAAAGAAAGAGAGAAAAGTATACTTACAAAAGAAAGTCTTGCTCCCAGCATGGATTGGCCCCTTTCACAGTGACTGTCGTTGACTTGACGTTCTGCAGCTTCAGTGTTACGTAGGAGTTGAACTGCGCCGCTGGAAATCGTTGTCGATCGGTTTCAGTCGTGCAAACGTCGTTGCGATTCCGACGATTGTTTCGCTTTCACGAGCGGGGCGCAGCTGATCACCGACGGCTTAGCCGGGCTTCGATTGATTGCAGGGAGGAGACGGACAAGCGCGGGCCGCGCGCCGCTTGTAAAAGAAATCTGTCCGACGCAAAATGGGAATGTCGACGTTGATGAATACGCGGGGTCAGAACCGTCGGATGGAGGACAACCGCGGCGCGTCGGATCGCCGGAGCGTCGCTCGCGGTCGAAAAATTATTTACGATCGGATAAAACCGGGATTTATTCCGTGCCGGCGACAAAATTAAATGTAACTCCAGACGGGACACGTCGGGCTCGTTTTTCAACCCGCGCCGAGGTACTCGCCCCCGCCGTGTGGGACGACGGTCGCCCTTTCAATGGAACACGGAAGCCGAGCCTCTTTGACATTTCAGCAAGCGCGTAAATTAAGGAACTATGCGACCCCGTGGGTGTCGTAAAATCGAGAACGTATTTTTAATTTTATTTCGATCTCGCGACGATGCTCCGCCCTACCAGCTACCCACGTGCGTACCGTTGTTCAATCTTCGGTCTGTGCGACACGACGGCTCGTGACACGATGTAAAAAGCGTGGGTTATCGTTTTCGAGCTCGACGGGACGACACGTATGCTATTCTAATACTTGGATCCGGCATTGCACTTTAAATGTACTTTCTCGCGCATCTAATGATATAGACGTGCAACGAAAGTGGCTAAATATAATTTGAAAATATAAACCGCGTAATATAAAAATATAAAAAAATATAAAACGCGCTTTTTTCTTGAAACTCTTCATTCGTTTAACTTAACATTTTCACGCATTACTTTTTACGATTCACTGAATTTTTATAAATACTCGAAGTTGATCCTCGTCCACGGCAAGCTGCCATGTTCTCGTTTCCCGAAAAAAATTGAAAACCATATGGTGCTTCGAGGATAATCTATTTTTATTTAATTTGTCTCGTCAACTGTCGACGCTGATTTCAAGATGACACGCAATCGCACCGTTTTCTAGTCTGAAGTAGCAGAGGAAGACATGAAAATGAAACGTTATCGCTGAAAACGAATTAGACGCGGCTGTTTTTCAAGTCACCGGAATTCCACGCCCCCTTTATGCAATCACGTCTTCGTTAATATCTATGGCAACACCGAATGGGCGACAAGTGCTTCCGCATAGCACGATATAACCGTAACAAGAATTTGTTGTTAAAGTTCCCAACAGAGAGGTTGAACATAAAGGGGCTAGCTACCGGACAGAAGCTGTTACGCGCACTACCATGCGAGATCCATTTCGTAAAATTACGTGTTTATTCTTCGACATTGTTCTAGAAACGAGGAACAACTTTATGCGATTTTGTGCCCGATAATTACGCAGCGTGCTGTGAATTTTCAGTTTAATTACTGAATTAAATCTAATTCCTGGGAGAACTCGCATTTTATTTATCAGATCTTTGGAAAACACGCCGGTAAAAGCATTCGATGCCGATTACAATAAATTCTCCCTAATTGACGCTCGGATTGTTGCACAAGAATGGTCAATTTGGGAGAGAAGATACGATTATTCGAGCCTTGCGGCTCGTTTTCATACATACCGATTGTCTTGAATTATAAAAACAAAGCCGCAAGGCTCGAATAACCGTATCTCCTCGTTCCAATTTGTTTATTTCAGTGCACAACCTGAGCGTCAATTAGGGAGAATTTATTGTAATTATTATTCGAACCTTGCGGTTCGTTTTCATACATACCGATTGTCAAGAACTATAAAAACGCGCCGCAAGGCTCGAATAATCGTATCTCCTCGTTCCAATTTGTCTATTTTAGTGCGCAACCTGAGCGTCAATTGGGAAGAGTTTACTGTGCATGAAAGGTTTCTATCCATCCATCGTCATCGATACTATTCGTACGAAAACATTTCATACGGTTCTACCGAAAAAACGAACGAGGAAACATTTTTTAATACAACGTACGCGTACATAAACTCGGTAATTGATACGTCCGAACAGTTTCAGTCCACGGCGCGGCGTCAGGCCGCTCTGCAGTCGCGCGGCTTTAATTAAAAAATATTTTAATTACCACAAACGCTGTCGCGCGTCGTCGTTCCGCGTTCCGTGAAAAATAGAAACGACCTCGCGAAATCGTTCCGGGATAACGAAACGTTCGTATGTCCGAGACACGGCGACTTAGCGTCGTAAAAATGTCAGAGATGTCGGCATTCATATGACGGGGGCGCCGTTTCGCGGACAATTAAATGTTATTTATGGAATGTTCGAGCGGCTCGGAGTGTTCTTCTGCACATAATTAGACGGAAGCGGACAATTACCCTGGAAATATTTTCCAATAATCCTCCGAAGCCCGGCCCGTCCCGACTCGGCTCGACTCGACTCGACTCGGTCTAACAAACTGTGTCGTCGGGGAACATTTATCAGCCGATGTCGTCGAATCGATAAGAGACGAGGCGGCACATAATAACGGTAACATTTCTCGGAGGACCTGCGATCGTTCCTCAATTTACGGGGGATACGGAGCAGACTTTCGGTGCCGTCCCAGGAATCAACTCAACCGAACTGTAAAGCTCCGTAAGCCTGTGCCCAAGTTGTACACTACAGGGTGTCCCAAAAATGTCTCGCGATTCGAAAGTGGCGGGTTTCTCAGGTCATTTGAAGCAACTTCTTCCTTTACAAAAATGTTCTCCGAGGCACCGTTAACGAGTTATTAACGAAAAACAGTGACCAATGAGAGGCGAGCTCGATTGGCGCGAGGCGGCCGAGCCAACGGCGCCAGCGGTCGAGCGGTCGAATGGTTGCCTGGCCGCCTCGCGTCAGCCGTACTCGATTCTTATTGGTCACTGTTTTTCGTTAATAACTCGTTAACGGTGCCTCGGAGAAAATTTTTGTAAAGGAAGAAGTTGCTTCAAATGATCCGAGGAACCCGCCACTTCCGGATTGCGAGACATTTTTGGGACACCCTG